GTCTAAGCATGGTTTCGGGTTCCACAAAGGTTCCTGGGGCGTTATTTGTGAAAAAGAGTCAGTGGGGGGTAGGTGGGGGTAGGGGACCCGCCACATACCCGCGGCCAAGTTCGGACATCGCCCCCGGCAGCGGGCAGGGGACTGCTCGCCGGGCACCCGCTGCCCGGAATCACGTCGCCGGCGGGCAGCCGGCGGGTGACCCTTCACCCACCGGCTACCCGCTGGAAATTCTCCCACTTCGGGATCCCGGCTTCCCCGTTTGATGTTCCCCCGACCCCCGTGGTGTCCCAACGGACTCCGTCTATCGTGCCTATGTCTAGTTTGATGTTCGGGTACCATTCGTAGGTTGAATAAGTCTTATATATTACATGCTAGTTGAATTGGTATCCCGTTGGCCTAGCTGTAAGAAGTATGAACCCCTTAGGATTATTCTTAGTATGTGGATGATCACGCATAGGTTTCGTTATACGATTTCTCCCCCTTCCCAATGTGTCAATGTGGGTTGCATGTGTTTGCTATGTGTTATGTGTGCATGATACCCCAATTTGGTTGCGATCAAATTGGTTATTCCTGAGCTGCGGTTCAGAAGCTGGCTGCGGTCAGATTTACACTCTCGGGCTGCGGTCCACCGTATGGTTGCGATCAAACGTTTTACATGAGCTGCGGTTCATATTCCTGGCTGCGGTCAGATGACTACTCTTGGGCTGCGGTCCACTGTTTGGTTGCGATCAAACATCATGATGAGCTGCGGTTCATCGGTCGGTTGCGATTGACCCCTCCGTGTTGCGATACGGGGCAGGGTGCTGCGGGGCCGTGTCAGAGCTATATGCGCTGACCCTCATGTGTGAGCATGCGATTGGTCCTGTGGCGCCAACAAAGTGTGCTATGTGATGAGATATGGATGGTTTGAGGTTATGATTGTTATGAATGCGTGACCATAGGATACATGCTAGTAAACTGTATATGCTTGATTATGACTATTGGCTGTGCTTATCTCTATCTGTCGAATCTGTTCCCTACGCTTGTGAATTGTGCATGCTTAATTATGACTGTTGGTTGTGCTTATCCCTATCTGTCGAGTCTATTCCCTGTTTTGAAAGCTAGAGTCTCTTAGGATATATCTTCATGCTTCGAAATGGTTTTTTGTATATCTATGTATATATCTATATGTATTGTATTTCAACGCGTTGGAGTGGGTTACCAGCATCTCTCGCTGAACAGATATATTCGGCTTTCAGGCACAGAGGGGTAGACACTGGAGCACGCTAGAATCTTGAAGCGTAGAAGTAGATAGTTTCCCTTTCGGCCTACGTGCCATGCTTATGCATTTACATTATTGAGGATATTAGTTAGTTAGCCTGTGCACCTGAGTTCTCTAGCTCAGGTGTGGCATAGCACCCTATACTATTTATATTATGTTTTGGGATTTAATGAGAACTTACCTTTATTATATAAGCTTCAAAAGTTTAAAAATTTCGGGGTGTTACAGTTGGTATCAGAGCCTAAGTTTGGCCCTAGGATAAGACTCTTAAGACTAGACTTTGAGACAATAGGCTTGAACTTTAAGTATTTAGGAACATAGGACTCAGGAACCTTAGGACGCGCGGTGAGACTGTGAAACCTACACATAACCCTCCCTCACTTATTTAAAGAAAACTCCCCCTTCGCTTATCGCATCAAGGTAAGAATGCAAAATAACATCGACCTATGAATACCAGGATGGCGCCAAAAAGGACACAGGTAGGGACACCGAAACTCCCCACCCAGGAATTCTTGACTCAGAATCTGCAACGCTTGGCCCAAATTGCCTAGGCACTAAGTGCTACTGTTCCCCAGCCATCACCAATAAACGAGAACTTGGAAATCCACCACCAAGTCTCGGCACACCCACCACCCATCTTCTCGGGGAACGAAGACCCCACGACCCTCGAGGAATGGATCGGGACTTTTGACAAGATATTCAGGGCAACCAGATGCCCGGAAAATCACCAAGTAAGAATAGCCTCCTTCTACTTCAGACACGAGGCCGACACCTGGTTGGCTCACGAAAGACCCACATACGAACAAGGCCCCGAATTCGACTGGGAAACCCTAAAAACACGACTACGAGAACAATTCTACCCCAACCATCTAAAAGCCGCCATATACGAAGAGTTCCTCCACCTAAAACAAGGGGCATCCTCGATCGCGGAATACTACCAGCAATTTCGCAGACTGGCCCGCCTCACCCCCGAGCTAGTACCCACCGAGGAGATCAAGGTCAAGAAGTTCATAACAGGCCTTGATCCCGAACACCAGAAAGCCTTGGCCACACAAGAACCAAGAACCCTCGGGGAAGCCTATGCCAAGGCATTCCAACTACAACAAGTATCAAACCAATCCCGGGAGACATACTTGGGATATAAAAGGAAACCTGAGGGGAGTCACACAATTACCCCACGAGGGCCTAAAAACCCCAGGACCGTCTCACCCCACAAGATCGCAATGCCAACCATTCAAGGAAGAATCCTTACCCTAAGCAAAGCCAGGGTCGGAGACAGCAACATAGTCTCCGGAACCTTCCTTGTACACGCCACCCCCGCCACTATACTATTTGATTCGGGGGCTACCAACTCATTTATAGCAACCGAATTCGCCACTCAACTCGGCCTTAACACCAACACTAAAGTCCGACTCCAGGTCAAGGTGGTCTCCGGCGAAATCATGAAGTGCGACCGCATGTACGAGAACATAATGATCACCATCCAAGGAGTGGAATTTCCCAGCAACTTAATACAATTCAGACTGGATGGGGTACAAGTGATCTTGGGCATGGACTGGCTAGGGAAATTCCAAGCACAAATCCTATGCGGAAAACAAAAAGTGGTCCTACGGGGACCAAACGGTAAAAGGGTGTCGTACCATGGGACTCGCCAGGGTCCAGAGATCAAACTTGTAAACATGGTGAAGATAAAGAAATACCTAAACCAAGGAAGCGAGGCCTTCCTATGCTCGGTCGAGGACCTCAACACCAAAACACCCAAACCACAAACCATTCCAGTAGTAAATGAATTCGCCGACGTCTTCCCAGACGAGATCCCCGGGGCACCCCCGGCCAGGGAAGTCGAGTTCACAATAGACCTCGTACCTGGCGCTGCCCCGATCTCTAAACCACCATACAGGCTAGCACCAAAAGAAATGAAGGAACTGAAAACGCAACTTCAGGAACTACTAGATAAAGGTTACATTCGCCCCAGCACCTCCCCATGGGGAGCACTAGTACTATTCGTTAAAAAGAAAGATGGGAGCATGCGCCTGTGCATTGACTACATGGAACTTAATCAAGTCACAATAAAGAACAGGTACCCCCTTCCCCGAATCGACGACTTGTTCGATCAGCTTAAAGGGGCAGGGGTGTTCTTGAAAATTGACCTAAGATCCAGATATCACCAAATACAAGTAGCCAAACCAGACATTCAGAAAACGGCCTTCCGGACACGCTACGGCCACTACGAATTTACAGTAATGCCCTTCGAACTCACCAACGCACCCGCCATATTCATGGATCGCCATATTCGGGGTGTTGCCGTTGTTGTGTATTTCTCTATTTGTGACATGTGTTTTCACAAAGGCATGTGTTGCCAAGGCATGTATTGCCAATGTCTGTGTCCTTATTCTCTTTATTTATGCATGTCGGGTGATATTCTACTGTTTGATGGTAGAATACGCCTTGAGCCGTTCTTGGGTGTCGTTGTCACTTCTTGATGTTTTCCCTTGTCTTTGTTGTGAGTGTATTGAGTCTTGTGATTGGCTTCTACTCTTGGTTTTAAACATATATATACTATATCCTGTTTCGCAAATGATTTTGTATATATATCCTATCTATGTATGATATTTCACATGTATTGGTGGGTTACCAGTATCATTCGCTGACCGGGCGTCATCCCATATATTTATGTGTTTCTTTCAGGTGCCGAGTAGGGTCGAGCGCGATCTAGAGACGGATAGAATAGATCCCTCGATCCTTGTAGTATGTTTTGGTCTGTGTGCCCTTTGCTAGACTTTAGACTTGTTGTTGTTGACCTTGTTCCTTTATAGACAGATTATGTTGATGTTGTTTACGCCTGTGCGTTCACCATTGTGTGGATGTGGCATAACACTCTACGTTTTCCATCTATTTCATATTTAGACTTCCGCTGTGTATGCTTATTATGGTTAGATTTTCTGCATGATTAAATTTTAAATAGATATGGAAATCGGGGGTGTTACCTTCTTAGCAATGTCTGCCAAGGTTAGATACTTGTTATCTGTGGTTTGATACATATCATAGTATCTCATATTTGCTACAGTAAGGGTCGTCCTTGCAGTTCTCTGAATCCTTTTCCCCTCTTTCAAGCAGATTCATCTTAATGAAGATCCAACTCAAAACCATGCCATAAGGCAAATGCTTCCTGTTCCTTGTCTTGAAATAGGACATGTGCTTGATCATCAAAGCTGACAAATTTATCTCATACGCAAATCTCAGGAAAAATGCTATGGTGCAGGTCCAACTACCAATCTCATTTGAATTGTTCCTACACGGGAACAAACACTCCTCTATCAACAAGACCAACAACTTTTTGTCGCCATTCAAGGCGGATTTCTCAGGCATGTACTCCTTAGGGAACTCTTCCCTTCTACCAGTCATGTACCTCACTCAAGATAGGTCACCCTATCATGAGAAATCCAATCATCCCTATCATATGTGTCTACCCCGCTCAACAGTAAATCAAACCAATTAAACAATTTCTGTGGTGTCAACTCTACTTTAGTACCTCTCACATTAGAGGTAACCATAGTAATTCCCTTCTTGTGTTTGGTTGATAAATTCTCATAGAATTCAATAACTAAATTGGGATAAGTTTCTTCCTGAATCCTTAAAAATTTCTTCAATAATCTTCAACTTTCTAACATTCGATTAGAATCTTCAGAAAAGTGTTCAGGAAAGTAGGTTTTACCTCCAATAACTGTGTAGTTAGGACCTTCATTGCTAGTTTCTTCTACTTGTTGCTTACCCTTTTCCATTGCAATCCAAAACTGCTTGCCTTAATCTTGGTTGGATTGGAGTAGATGACTCAAATAGTATTTTTCTTGTGCTTAGAATAGATTGTAGGATGCACTCTTGAACTTTTTAGGAATAGATATGGTGTTTTGAAGGAGATGGATTTTTGTTAGAGATGGATAATTGGGAGTATAATAGCCTAGATGGACTATATTTTAATTCATGGTGTTGGATGAACAATCCGTGTTAATACATGGGTCTATTTGACCCTTTTGCCTTTACTAAATTAGCAAAAAATAGTCCTAATGAGTCACCAAATAGTCAACACAAGCTCAACCACATTTATTCCATTAAAACATTACTTGTATAATTGTATTCTAATTAATTAGTCATTTAGATCACATCTTTAAAAATAGTCAAAAATTTGTGTGAGACCATCTAACGAATCTTTGTCTATGACACGGGTCGAATCAAGATCAAATGTAATAGTTATACTGAAAAATGTAATACTAATAAGAGATAAAATGTATATGTGAACATGTAATACTTTTGATGAAAAATGTAATACTTTTACATTTTGATTTAAAAGTATTACATTTTTCTCAAAAGTATTACATTTCCATTCCCTTATAAGTAACAAACAGTATATGTGAACATGTAATACTTTTGATGAAAAATGTAATACTTTTACATTTTGATTTAAAAGTATTACATTTTTTCTCAAAAGTATTACATTTTTTTCTCAAAAGTATTACATTCCATTCCCTTATAAGTAACAAACAGTATATGTGAACATGTAATTACTTTTGATGAAAAATGTAATACTTTTACATTTTGATTTAAAAGTATTACATTTTTTCTCAAAAGTATTACATTTCCATTCCCTTATAAGTAACAAACAGTTGTCAACATTACTTATAATATGGCTTTTCGTTGGAGGGAATTATAATTTCATTCCATCCTAATTCCCACATAATTTTGAAGCCAAGCAAATTCATTCGTTTGGTTGGCGGGAATTGTAATTCCGTGGAACTAAAATTCCGTCATTTTCAAGGAATTAGAATCCAATTGGTATTTCAATTCCATGGATTTTAGGAAGAAAAAAATTTGAGACAAAATTACCCCTCTTTTTTAGTCTAAAATTGATGTTTGACCTCTATTTTTCGATTATAGCGTGTCTTCTTCTTCTAATCTCAACACAGAACGTCAATTAGTAGTCCAACCTCAATCAAATATGTTTTGTCAAAACTCTTTTACCTATTTTATTGCTTTTGTTATGCAATTCTAGGGTTTCTTTTACATTGTGTTACATAAAATTTCAAAAGCAAAATGTTAATTTGGTCATTTTGATTGATGATGATGATGATGATGATGATGATGAGGATGATGATGATGATGATGATGATGATGATGAGGATGATGATGATGATGATGATGATGATGATGATGATGATGATGATGATGATGATGATGATGATAATAATAGGAATAAGTATGGGCATTTTGGACTTTATACTACTTATTCCCTTTCAATTCCCATGTCTAAAAAACATTGGAATTGAAATTCCCAGTAATTCTATTCCTGCAAACCAACACTGGAATTTATATTACCACTTCTATCGCACATTATTCCTCTCCCTGGAATTGCAATTCTTTTTCCACATAATCCCCCCCCCCCCCCCCCACGCACATTAAACATCAAACTGTAGCGCATTTTATCCTGGGAAACCTAGGTCACGGCACTCCTAGCACTTGCGGGAGGTGGCAAATAAGGTTTTAAGGAAAGAGTGGTCTCTTGACTCACGCTAAAAACCCTATACCCATACACGAGCCATCTTTTCCTTCTTTCGGTTTTGGATTATGCTTCTAAGCAAAATCCGTTCTCCATATTTGTTTTGCCGTTGGATTGGACTCATAACCTGAGGATTATTTGTTCCAATTTTTGGTTGATATATATTGGTATATCTTTTTCGCAGATATACATACATATATATATATATATATATATATATATATATATATATATATAGGGTTGAGTTCAAATGAGGACAACAATATATAGAGGACTGTGAGGACAAATAATGGGCACACAACAAATTAATACCAGGCACACAACTTAATACATAATGGCACACAAAAATAAATGTAAACATCAAGTTTCGAACCCGAGCTCTATAAATTAACAAATCTAGTACGCGACATACAAACTGTGGCACACGACTACATTCGGCCATGCACACGACATACCGGCTAATGGCACACACTACATTTGTCCTCACAGTCCTCTATAATATACTTGTCCTCATTTGAATACACATCTATATATATATAACCGTTGGATCCGTTTTATATATATTTGTGTGTATATATATATTTCGGATAAATATCAAATAATATTTTATATACTTGTGTGTGTATATATAAATATTATTTTACGATATTAAATCGATTTTGGTTCATTATCACCAACAATCTTAAAACCTTATTTTTTTGATAATGAACAAATCGATGGATTCCAAGAGTATTGGATCCGTGAATGTTGCTCGTGGTGCACATTAAAGTGGTTGTAACGGCAACGACGTTGCGCATTCCGTGATGCCAGTTGAGGGCAGCAATGTTGGAAATGTTGTTTCCATGGGAGTTGCAAAAACACACAATGGTGCTCCGGAGAACGTTGGTTCACGATCCGGTAGACCTGTGTCTAATGGCACACAATTGGTACCTATTGTGTTGTCTAGTGGATCGGCTAAAAGCCACGAAGGATCCTATGATGGTGTAATGACTACATGGTCTGAGGACTATGGTAGTGTTACCAATGACTTCAACCGTAATCGAAGGAAACTTAAGCGGAAGCTTAGCTTTCAAGAAGATTATGGAAAGAAGGAGAAATGCCACTATGAAGCGAACCGTCATCCTGGTGAAAAGGTTGAGGACAACTTCGCTATGTTTAAAACATGTGGATGGTTGGACGAGTGAGGTCACAACCGAGGTACCCCCGATGTGCGCTATGGACCACCCTTCGTGGAGTGGACGGTTGAGAATGGAACAAGGCACACGGGTCTGAAGGACTACTACGGGATAGGAATAAGGAATTTGGTTCCAATGGTTTTTCCTATTTATTTATTTTTGAATAAATGTTGTAGTATCCTTGTGATACATTTTATTGTTGAATAAAATGAATTGTTCTATTTGTGTGTATTGAACTTTGTATATTTTAAAATATTCTTGTGTGATATTTTATTATATAAAAGATTCAATATGGATGCCTAAGTGCATCAAGTAGCATTGTTTGAAAAATGCTAAGATGGCTTAACGGCCGGAACGAAATGTAATAAGCGTGTTACATGTTGAAATCCCGTAGAGAACCTCGGTTCTGGTTCATGTAGAACCATAAGGATTTCAAGGATCAATTTGTCAAAATTGGATAGCTATATAATCGTGAGCGTCACAGCTCAAGTGTTGAATATTTTAATTAATATTCTGAGAACGATTATATAAGCTTGATTCAACTAGTCGAAAATTTTGGTTGATTTGTTCTCGTTAATTGTGTTATAATTAACTTGATCAAAAATTCTAAATTATACTAGTATATTTAATTTGAGACAAATTGTGTTTTGGTGAATAGTTCTTTTGTAGCACTAATGGAAAGTGCAATTTAATTTGGCACTTTGAAGTGCAAATTAAAACACTGTAACAGTGCTATTAAGCACTAGGTAGAGTGCTTAATTAGGCACTTTCGGCCACTTGGTGACTGCACCTTTAGGTGTTGAAAACTTAAGCATTTGGTGCTTTGGTAATAGCAATAAAGGTGCTAGATTATGATTGGTCTTAATGCTAATTTACTTAGCTTAAACCTTTCGTATGTGGCTGATTAAATTTAGCATTGTAAAAGTGTTATGTGATTAGCACGAAAGGAGGTTTGGTTAATTGTGTAATTAACTAATAATCCTAGTGTTAAGTAGCACTGGAATTATAAATTAAGCAACCGAATGTTGCTGTGAGTTTATAATTTAAAGCAATAGAGATTGCTTTGGAATCGGTGCGGTTAGTTTAGAAGCAATGATTCGTGCTTGGTATAGCATGTTTCGTGCTTCATTACTAAGCACTGATTCGTGCTTCAATTTTGGAAGCACTAGTTCGGGTTTGTGGCCTTTCGGTCAAATCCCGAATGGATTTGTAAAGGCTAATCTGTTAGCTTCTACGAGATGTGCTAACGTGTAGCACATGGTTATTCTTTATAAGAATAAAAGGGAAAAAAAATCAAATTAATCGTGGATTAATACGGTTACAAACGATCGATGTAGTGAATATGAAATACCTATTGGTGATTTCTGTGAAAGAGTTGGTATCGTACTCGAGCGTACGACACGGTATTTACCTCAAATCGAACGTTGTTGCCGAACATAAATATCAAGACGTTGATAAGTTCGAGTCTACCTCAAAGTATGTGGGGTGAGGCAATACTTTGGACAAGTAAGTACCTTTTAAATAAGGTTACCCGCATGAAATTCTTACGAATTGTGGATACGTAGGAAGCTTTCCTACTAATGCCTGAAATGTGGGGGTGTCTTGCCAAAGATGTGTATTGGTTCTTAATACACGAGTCCTATAGTTTGGATGTACGTAAGAACACAATAAATTGAATCAAGAAATTCATCGTTCTTTGAAGATGTATTTTTGAAAGTTCAATAAAGGACCTAGCATGTTGAAAGGAACTTTCGGCGTAGCTATGGTTGAAGGGTGTGAAAGAGAACCCGAGCTCAAAGCTAGACGTAGCAAGAGAGCTAGGATTGAAAAATCCTTTGGTCCAGATTTTCTGACGTACATGCTAGAATGTGACGCGCATATTCTACTTGTTTACTAGAAAATAAATTGGATTTTCTGACATGTTTGTTAGAAAACGAGCCTCGAACGTATGTAGAAGCGTTACTTCTACAGGTGGACCAACCCGAAAGAGGCTATCGAGAGTGAAGTAGATTCTATCTTAGAGAATCATACTTGGAACTGGCTGTTTTTCCCCAAGGTTGTAAAACCTTGGGATCCTAAGTAGATCACTAGTCGGAAAACAAAAACCGGTTGGTTATATTGAAGTAAAATGGCCGGGCTTGTAATTGAAGATTACATGCAACGCGAGTGCCATGGTTACTTCAATATATATTCTCTTGTGACGAGAATAGAATCCATTAGGATGATACTTGCCAGAGTTGTTTAGCTAGACTTGGAAGTTCATCGAAATGGATGTATCGGTTTCTTAGTAGACATGGAACGACCCGAGGGTTTTTTGGTTCCACGCTATGAAAAGAAAATGTGTAATTGGTCAGATCATTGTTTGGTTCGAAATAATTGCCTTAGTATTTGGCATGTGAGGTTTTGATCATGCAATGATAACCAACGAGTTTAGTATAAATAAAAGTGACTAGTAGGTCTACGTATTGCGTACTATAGACGGTGATATCACTGTTTGTTTATACACGATAAACTCATCATGGGTAGTAACGATCAAATGATCAATTCTACCAGAAACATGTTAAATTCGAGATTTGACATGAGAGGTGTGAGTTTGGCAGATTTAATCCTCGGGATTAAAATCGTGAGAAGACCGTATGGTCTCGTGTTAAGCCAATCTCATTAAGTTTGATTGAATCCTTGTAAAGGATGATAATCAAGTGGCTTGGACACCGTTAGATACTAACGTACAACTAGCCAATAATCACGGAGGTTGTACTTCTCGTGGAGAACACATTCAGATTATTGGTAGTTTAATTGTATCAAATGGGTTGTACTAGGCCAGATATTGCCTTTGCGGTTAACAAACTTGGTATACATCCGAGTAACCCTAGTGCTACGCACTAGAAGGCAATAGTGAGGGTTATGAGATACTTAAGGTATGCTCGTGACTTTGGACTGCACTACGTGGGATATCTAGTTGTACTTGGATAGTATAGCACAGATATCAAAGGACGCTAAGTCCATTAAAGGCTACGTGTTTACGTAGGCCAGTGCAGTTGGTTTTACGGAAATTCTCGAAATGATTTGTGATAGCTAAGATCCGACGGGATCTAAGCTGAGAGCCTTAAACTCGTGTCGCGAACAAGTAGGTCGAATGGTTATGCCATTGTTCGGGAATGTTCCTAGAGGTAAACTCGTACCTTCAATTTGTGTGCGTTGCGATAGTCAAGCCAAAATTGGTTAACTACAAAGTTAGATGTGGAATGGTAAGTCTAGACTTATAAGTCGTAGACATAATGCCATTAAACAATTTCTCACAACAGGGGTTATCTCTATTGACTACGTGATGCCAAAAGATAAGGTAGCGGCCGCTAACTCGCTAACCCGAGGGTAAGCAAATGGTTGTTAGAGAAATTGGAATGAGGAATGGGTCTAAAGCCCTTGGACTAAAAGTTCTATAGTGGATACCCAACCTAGCTGGCACCTAGGTTCAATGGGACAACTAAATTATGGAACGGAGCGTGTCACTATGGGGGTCTCGGACTCCCTACCACTCCTCGTTAGAAACAGTGACTCCCGCACGAGGCTAGCATGTTGATGCTTTAATGATTCTTGAGTATGCGGGATACTCGAGAAAGAATCACCTATGTAAGAGAGAAGTGAGGGTCGCTTCAAAGGAGAATTGTTGGGCACAATTCTTTAGAAACTCTCGCAGAACCAGGAACGGTGACCCACGACCAAAATGGGCACACTCATGAAAACAGAGCATGGTTGGGAGGTTCCTGTGTGAGATATGTCATCGTCTACACAAACGGCAGTCGGTTGAAAGACATCGCGTTCTACCGTACAACCAGTAGAGTAAATATATCTTCACAAGGGAAGGTTCAAAGGGTATAGTGACTCCCTACCTATCCTATGCAGGGATCGACCGTTGAACACAGTTGTTTCCGATTTCAAAATACCCTGAAAATCAATTTTTCATTCATGTGGGGGGGGGGGGGGGGGGCAAATTAAATTCCAACTAGAGATAACTTCGGACCCCGAGCTCGTGTGCGCCGGCACCTACGGGCACGAATGTCGTCCGGAAATTGGCTGGCCTTGCGGGCTAAGTTATGCCTATTTTCGGCCAACAGTCCATTAACTCCAGTTTTGAATTTTGAATTTAATTCTGTTAATGGGGTTGGCCATGATCAATGCTATTAAGTACTCCTCCCCTATATAAGAAGGGGTAGAAGGCAGAATCTTTACAATAACAAGAAAAAGCACAAGAGCTCTACACGAAATTTTGTTTTCAAGCTTCAAAATACTTCTGCTTCTACTCCTTTCTTAAGTCTAACTGTATTCAAGGCTTTGCTCTAGTTCGCCAGGTTCGTTCGTTTGGGTGCTTAAACGTCAAACCGTTGCGCGTTTTATCCTGGGAAACCTAAGCCATGGCGCTCCTAGCACTTGTGGGAGGTGGCAAATAAGGTTTTAAGGAAAGAGTGGTCTCTTGACTCACGCTAAAAACTTATACCCATACACGAGCCACCTTTTTCTTCTTTCGGTTTTGGATTATGCTTCTAAGCAAAATCCGTTCTCCATATTTGTTTTGCCGTTGGATTGGACTCATAATCTGAGGATTATTTGTTCCAATTTGTGATTGATATATATTGGTATATCTTTTTCGTATATATATATATATATATATATATATATATATATATATATATATATATATATATATATATATATATATATATATAACCGTTGGATCCGTTTTATATATATTTGTGTGTATATATATATTTCGGATAAATATCAAATAATATTTTATATACTTGTGTCTGTATATATAAATATCATTTTACGATATTAAATCGATTTTGGTTCATTATCACCAACACAATAGTAGCAGTTGGAATTTGGAAAGCAGTAAGTTTTTAGAATGTCTGACAAATAAAATTTAATTTTACTTGCAATTTGAGAATATTGATCTAGTTGATATTTTTAAATAGACTACTTTTAATTTTTTTTTTTAACATTTCATCTCGGTTAGGAATAAAATGGTTCCAGCAGTTTTTTTGGATTTTTCTCCAGTTTCTTCTTCTCTTTATTTCTCTCTATTAATGTATCTCGAAAGACTGGACTAATAAGTCGAATTCTCAACAATTTTAAAATGAATTAGAACATTATTCTTATTCTAATCAATTAAATCAATTAATGATGTTGAGAACATCCTTGGAAATACCAAGTAAGGTGATGACAATTTCCTCACCCGAAGAACAAGGAACTAAATCTTTAATCGCACTCCTTATGCTATTATCAATCGACGGCACATCACGTTTGGCCTTCAACTTTTCTATGGCATCTCCGGCGTCGCCAACAACTTTCCGGTACACCTTCGGGCATCTTTCCTTTAGACCGCCAATCTCCAACAGTGCCTTTTCGAGGGCGATTATGCTAAATACTCTCACGTCCTTGGCGGCGGCGCTGCGGGGATCAGATTGAATGACGGAAATGCAGATATCTCGAGATTTGGTCTGCGCACAAGCGATCTGGAGAATTCGGTTGCGGTCGTCTGCGGCGGCGGAGAATTGTTGGGGAAACAAAATGGTGATGTATAGGAGGATGGAGAGTAGAGCAAAAACGGAAGGCTTCATATTGGTTCTGTTTTTGGAGTGATTGTTCATGTGCTTTCTTTGTTATATATATATATATATATATATATATATATATATATATATATATATATATATTCAGGTCGACATGAGTAATGTTTGAAAATTGATGGTTTTTGAATAGTGTGTAATGCTTTAAGATTTATGTTATATTTGGTAATTTGAGCTTATCTATGTATATCGTGATTTTGTTTACTTTTATTTTCTAAATTTGTTAAGATTTTGTACTTTCTTTTTTTAGTACTAATTAAGATTTTGTATATATATTGCCACAAATATATATTTTTAAGCCGGCATGAGTAATGATTGGAAATTTATGATTTTTGAATAGCGTGTAAGACCTTGAAATTTATGTTGGTAATTTGAGCATATCTATGTATATCATGATTTTGTTTATTTTTATTTTTTAAATTTGTTAAGATTTTGTATATATATTGCCACAAATATATATTTTCAGGCCAACATGAGTAATGATTGGAAATTGATGATTTTTGAATAATGTGTACCGCTTTGAAATTTATGTTACATTTCATAATCTGAGCATATCTATGTATATCATGATTTTGTATACTTTTATTTTCTAAATTTGTTTAACAATTTGTATATATATTGCCACAAATATATATTTTCAAGTCGACATGAGTAATGATTGGAAATTGATTGTTTTGAATAGTGTGTAACGCTTTGAAATTTATGTTACATTTGATAATTTGAGCACATCTATGTATACCTTAATTTTGTTTTGTTTATTTTATTATCAAAATTTGTTAAGATGTTGTATGTGCTTGAAGCCCCTAATATTTTTTCCCTCCAATCCCTCTCTCATGACGTGATGACATCTAATTGGTAATTAAATTCTATTTTTAATAAGTGGTGGGACCAACCAAATCATGAGATCTAATGAATGGGGGCCACATCAAGAAGGAAATTATTGGAGGTGAAATTTAGAAGGGGAAGAATGCATTATATATATTTTCCATTGTATGTATGTACTAATTTTTCACGTGCATTGCACGAATGAGATAACGCCTCATGATTAGTTTTAAAATAAGTACTTCAAAGTATACCAGTGCAATATTATATAGGAGATATTATGCATAGGTAATTGAATGTTGAATTTTTTTTTATTTAAATAAGTAATTCAAAGTATATGAATGCAAGGTTGATTATAATGGATGTGATGAGATGATTTCGAAAAATATAGAGATTAATTAATATGGAAGGAATCAATAAGGGCAAACACGGAATTTGAATAGTAATTTAAATGATAAAATTATTTGATTAAGATGTTATGCATGATTTTTGGAATTTACTTATGGTATAATAGGATTCTTCATGACTTATGATATAATATATTTATGCTATTATGTGTACTTATCATTTATATAGATTTATTTATTATTTATTTATTTTGAAATTTTTTCATAGTACTTATTTTAATAGTGTTAGAGATAATGAACC